GGGAGAAGTCAACACCCAAGGCGTGGACTGTAGTTCACTTAAGCTTGTGCCAAATAAAACCCCTGCCAAGGTATCTCAAGACTCTGAGCTCTTTTAAGGGATCCATGTGTTGGCCATGATCTGAATCCTTGTGTTTGTTCCAACTGAAATAGAATTGCGTCAATGCAACTCACTCCAAGTGTGACCTAAGTCACCACTGGGTTGTTGTAGGTTTTTTTGGGCTATATGGCCATGTTTTAAAGGCATTTGCTCCTGACGTTTTGCCTGTATCTATGGCAAGCATCCTTACTACCTCTGAAGACGCTTGTCATAGATGCAGGCGAAACGTCAGGAGAAAATGCCTTTAGAACATGGCCATATAGCCCGAAAAAACCTTCAACAACCCAGTGATTCCGGCCATGAAAGCCTTCGACAATACATTAAGTCACCACTGCTTCAGTGTATCTCCTCTAGTCGGGAGTGACAATAGTACAAGTTTAGCATCTCTTTTTCACAATTCCAAAATATTCCAAAATTCTCCACGAGTGGTTGAGAAAGCAACACCTTTGCTTTCTGGTGGTCCACAAGCTGTGCTTCACGCACAAATTGTTTTTTAACCACCAAACGCAGCATTGCTCAAACACGAATCAAGGAACATGAAAGGCACTGCAGGCTATTTCAACCAGAGAAGTCAGCCATAGCAGAGCACTTGATGAACCAACCTGGACACAGCATATTATTTGAGAACACAGAAATGCTGGACCACTCTAACAACCACTGTCAGATTACACAGAGAAGCACATCCACATAGCCCTATATCCCACAATACCAAGACAGAAAATCCCACAATATCAGCTTTGAACTGCGTTATCTGAGTCCACACTCAGATAAAGTGGCATTTCCTGCCTTGATTTTCTGGATATAGGACTGTGTGGAAGGGCCCTCAAATCCACAAGCATGTGGACAATTTCAACAGAAAGGGGAAAATCATGAAAATGAACAAAACCTGGCAACTAGTATTTTAAAAACTCTAAAATCAGGACAGTAAATAAAGAGGAACAGTCAGACTCCAGGCATGAAACAATCTGGGCCAGCTAACACCTCCCAACAAAGGATTCCCCCCAGGCAGGAAGCAGCCAGGCTTTGAGGCTGCAAAGCCATTAAATGCTAATCAAGGTGGCCAATTGCAACTTTCGCACTTGCCTAAAGCAGACAAGGGTTCTTTCTCCCACCCTGGACATTCCACAGATATATAAACCCCACTTGTCTAGTTTCCAACAGACCTCACAGCCTCTGAGACTGCCATAGCTGTGGGCACAACGCCAGGAGAGAATGCTTCTGGAACATGGCCATAAAGCCCACAAAACTCACAGCTACCCAGTGATTCTGACCTTTGTGTGTGTGTGTGTGTATGTCTGGGGCAGGCATGTAGCCGGGGGGGGGGGGCTTGAGGGGCTTCAGCCCCCCCCCCCCCAAATTATCATGGTGGTCCGTGAGAAGGCCTTACTGGTACATTATTTAAACTGTTATGTTTATTCATATCATGATCTGATCACCATGCTCAATATATCCCATATGCATGGGGGTATTGGGGTAATGATACAAAAGGTTTGCTAGGGTAGACCCTCTTTCACTCAGACTCAGCCCCCCCCCCCGAATCAAACTCAGCTCCCCCCGAAACAAAATCCTGGCTACGGGCCTGGTCTGGGGCGACTTGAGAAACTGCAAGTCTCTTCTGGTGTGATAGAATTGGCCGTCTGCAAAGACGTAACCCCAAGGACACTCAGATGTTGTGACCTAACCGGTTTAGGTCCAGGCTATTTGACAAATCGTATCTCCCTCTATAGACCAACTCTGACACTGCGGTCATTGGAGGAGGTCCTCCTCTCAGTTCCAACTCTGTCCAAAGAACGACTGGTGGGAACGAGAGAAAGGGCCTTTTCCATGGCTGCCCACCTCTGGAACTCCCTTCCTAAGGAGTTAAAGATGGAGGAGACCTGGAGGGGATCCCTTCCTAGGAGCTCAAGGAGATTTATTTATCGTGTCAGGAGCGAACCAAAACAGTTGTATTGCATTAAAAAAACAGACAAACAAGCAAACAAAACACAAAATTTGCAGACTTGGTATTCTATTAAATGTCCTTTGACCAGTAGCTGGCCACTTGGGAGTGCCTCTAGTGTTGGTATAAGGAGGTCCTCCATTGTGCATGTGGCAGGGCTCAGGTTGCATTAGGTGGTCAGTGGTTTGCTCTTCTCTGCACTCGCATGTCGTGGATTCCACTTTGTAGCCCCATTTCTTAAGGTTGGCTCTGCATCTCGTGGTGCCAGAGCGCAGTCTGTTCAGCGCCTTCCAAGTCGCCCAGTTTTCTGTGTGCCCAGGGGGGAGTCTCTCATTGGTATCAGCCACTGATTGAGGTTCTGGGTTTGAGCCTGCCACTTTTGGACTCTCGCTTGCTGAGGTGTTCCAGCGAGTGTCTCTGTAGATCTTAGAAAACTATTTCTTGATTTAAGTCGTTGACATGCTGGCTGATACCCAAACAGGGGATGAGCTGGTGATGTCACTGCCTCGGTCCTTTCACTATTGGTTGCTACTTCCCGGCGGATGTCAGGTGGTGCAATACCGGCTAAGCAGTGTAATTTCTCCAGTGGTGTAGGGCGCAGACACCCGTGATAATGTGGCATGTCTCATTAAGAGCCACATCCACTGTTTTAGCGTGGTGAGATGTGTTCCATACTGGGCATGCATACTCAGCAGCAGAGTAGCATAGCGCAAGGGCAGATGTCTTCACTGTGTCTGGTTGTGATCCCCAGGTTGTGCCAGTCAGCTTTCGTATGATATTGTTTCTAGCACCCACTTTTTGCTTGATATTCAGGCAGTGCTTCTTGTAGGTCAGAGCACAGTCCAGAGTGACTCCCAGGTATTTGGGTGTGCTGCAATGCTCCAGTGGGATTCCTTCCCAGGTAATCCTCAGAGCTCGGGATGCTTGTCTGTTCTTAAGGTGAAAAGCACATGTCTGATGGATTAGGGATCAGCTGGTTTTCCCCGTAATAGGCGGTAATAGCACCTAGAGCTTCGGAGAGCTTCTATGATGATGATGATCATTATGATTATGGCTATCTATCGGGGGTGCTGTGAATGCCATTTTCCTGCTTCTTGCCAGGGGGTTGGACTGGATGTCCCATGAGGTCTCTTCCAACTCTATGATTCTATGGTTCATTCCCCCTCAGATTTCCCCAAACTGCCTGGAGATGAAGCCTTGCACCCTCCAGATCTGATGGTGTGTTCCTGCCTGTCAGGAGGAGGAGGAGGCCTGGAGGGGATCCCTTCCTAGGAGCTCAAGGAGAGAGAGGGGGGAGGGGGAGGGAGGGGGGGGAAGAAAGAGGGGGGGGGAGGAAAGAGGGGGAGGGGGAGAGAGAGAAGGGGGAGGGAGAGAAGGGAAGAGAGAGAGGGGAGGGGGAGGGAGAGAGAGGGTGGAGAGGGAAGGAGAGAGGGGGTGGGGAGGATGAGAGGGGGAGAGGGGGAGGGAGAGAGGGGGTGGGGGAGGAAGAGGGGGGAGAGAAATGGAGAGGGGGAGGGAGAGGGGAGAGAGAGGGGGAGGAAGAGAGGGGAAGAGGAGCTAGGATTGTCTGCTCGCTCCATCTCTCTCCAAATACCTATCCTAGTTATATGTCACCTTGTCATGCCCAGTATTTTAAAATTTTAATTATTACATTTGGCCCTGCCATAGGTTTTTAACGCGCCGTGGTGTTATTATTGTTGTTTATTGCTTTGTTATGAGTTTATTTATTGTCTGTATTGCTGTGTTGTTTTCATTGATGTATTTGGGCTCAGCCTCTTGTAAGCCGCACCGAGTCCTCCGGGAGATGGTAGCAGGGTATAAATAAAGGTTTATTATTATTATTATTAAGAGAGAGAGGGGAGGGGAGAGAGAGAGAGAAAGAAAGAGGGGGAGGGAGAGAGAAGGGGAGAGAGAGAGAGGGGGAGAAGAGGGAAGAGAGAGGGGAGGGAGAGAGAGGAGAGGGAGGGAAAGAGAGGGGAGAGAGAAGGGAAAGGGGGGAGAGAGGGGGAGGAAGAGAGGGGAGGGGGAGGGAGAGAGAGGGGGGGGAGAGGAGGAAGAGGAGGAAGAGAGGGGGGAGGGAGAGAGAGAAAGGGAGAGAGAGGGGAAGAGAAGAGAGGGGAAGAGAGAGAGGGGAGGGGAGAGAGAGAGGGGGAAAGAGAGGGGAGGGGAGGGAGAGAGGGGGAGAGAGAGAGAAGGGAGAGGGGAGGGAGAGAGGGGAGGGAGAGAGAAGGGGGAGGGAGAGGGGGAGAGAGGAGGGGAGGGGGAGGAGAGAGGGAGGGGGGAGGGAGAAGAGAGAGGGGGAAGAGGGAAGGGAGAGGGGGAGGAGAGAGAAGAGAAAGGGGAAGGAGGAGGAGAGGGAGAGAGAGGGGGGAGGGAAAGATGGGAGGGAGAGAGGAAAAGGAGAGAAAGGGGAAGGAAGAGAGGAGGGGAGGGGGAGAGAGAAGGGGAGGAAGAGAGGGAATGGGGAGGGAGAGAGAAAGGGAGAGAGAAGCGGAGAGAGAAAGGGAGAGGGGGAGGGAGAGAGAGGGAGAGAGAGGGAAGGAGAGGAGGGGGAGAAAGAGGAAGAGGGGAGAGGGAAGGGAGAGAGGGCGAAAGAGGGGGAAGGGAGAGAGAGGTGGGGAGAGGGAAGGGGAAGAGAGGGGAGGGGGAAGGGAGAAAGGGAGAGAAAGGGGGAAGGAAGAGAGGGAAGGGGGGAGGGAGAGAGAGAAAGGGAGAGAGAGGCGGAGAGAAAGAGAAAGGGAGAAGAGGGGGGAGGGAGAGGGGGAGAAAAGAAGGAGAAGAGAGGGGAGGAGAGAGGGGGGAGAGAAAGGGAGGAGAGGGGAGGAAGAGAGGGGAAGAGAGAGGGGGAGGAGGGAGAGAGGGGGAGGAGGGAGAGGGAGAGAAGAGGGAGAAGAGAGAGAGGGGGGAGGAGAGAGAGGGGGAGGAGAGGAGGGGAGGAGAGAGAGAGAGAGAGAGAGAGAGAGACCGCGCGCGCGGCGCTTCCTGCCGAGCCTTGCAATGGCCTTTGGGAGCGGGGCAGCCCCGCCTGGCTTTTCCCCGCCCCTCTTCCTCCTCCTCCTCCCCCTCCTGCTCCCTCCCTCCCGCTTCCTGCTGCTGCTGGTGGAGGCCGAGGGAGAAGGTGGCGGCGGAGGCGAGGGCCCTGAAGCCGAGGAAGCGCAGCAGCCGCAGCAAGAAGGACGACGACGCCGCCCCCTCCTCCTCCACCCTCGCTGCTTTCTTTTCTCTCCGGGGTTTGCTTCCACCATGTCCTCCTCCTCCTCTTCCCGCAACAGCGGCGTGGGGCCCCTCCACCCCAGCCAGAGCCGCGCCATCCCCACCCGGACGGTGCCCATCAGCGACTCCTCGCAGCTACCTCACGACTACTGCACCACGCCCGGGGGGACCCTCTTCTCCACCACGCCCGGAGGTAAGCGAGCAAGCAAGCAAGCGAGGCAGGCTCCAACCCCCTCACCCCCAAGAGAGAGAATGGCCAAGCGAAGGAGGCGTGGGCTCAGGGCCCTTGCTGCGCGAGACGTGGCCCACTCGCTGCCTCGTGCGAGCGAGCGCGCGCGCTCCCAAGGCAGGCGCGCGGGCAGAGTGAGCTTGGGGGCTTTCCTTTCTCTCTGCTTTTGCAGCATTGCAAGACTGCAGGCGCTTCCAGGCTTGCCTGTGGTTGCCATATAAAGCAGTTTGAGCAGTGGAGACCCCCACCATGCAGTCTGCATGATATGGACAGTGGAGACCCCTATAATTTATTAATTTTATTTATTTACAGTATTTATATCCCGCCCTTCTTACCCCGCAGGGCAAACATTCAATGCCATAGGCACACAACATATATTATTATTATTATTATTATTATATTATTATTATAATAACTTTATTTGTACCCCGCTAGCATCTCCCGAAGGACTCGATGCAGCTTGCATAGTCCAAGGCCTCAAAACACAATACAACAATACAATACCTAAAGCAAATTAAAAACAGTTAAGCAGAATAAACAACAACAATATATATAGACAGACACACAGAGGCCCTTAATATCCCAGCTTATTGATAAGGGTATTCTGGCCACCAAGGGAGCGGTCACCTCACCGTCCATTTGTAACTCTGATGAAGTACTTCCTCATTCTTTGTAGGCTTGCTGGAGTTTTTTATGGCATCGTAAATTAGTTAAATTGGACTCCCCGCATACGTGGTACCTAAATTTCCTACTTGATAGATGCAACTGTCTTTCGGGCTGCAAAGGTTGACAGCAAACTACACAAATTGGTCGGAAGCTCACTCCGACTTGGGCTGGCTTCGAACTCATGACCTTTTGGCCAGTAGTGATCTTAATGCAGCTGACTCCCAGCCATCTGCGCCACAGTCCCGGTGCATGATGTGGACAGTGAGACCCCTTATAATGCATGATTCAGGCCCCTATATAGTTCAGGCCCCTATAATGCATAAAGTGGACCGTGGAGACCCTTTTAATGTCTGATGTGGACAGTGGGGGCCCCTTTAATGCATGTTTTTATTATTATTGTTGTTGTTGTTATTATTATTATTATTATTATTATTATTATAATGTGGTTGACACTGAGACCACCCTATAATGAATTATGTGAACAATGGAGACCCCTATAATACATAATGTGGACAGTGCAGATAAAGGTTAAGGTTTCCCCCTGGCATTAAGTCTAGTCGTGTCCGACTCTGGGGGTTGGTGCTCATCTCAATTTCTAAGCCGAAGAGGCAACGTTGTCCATAGACACCTCCAAGGTCATATGGCCGGCATGACTGCATGGAGTGCCGTTACCTTCTCATCGGCGCGGTACCTATTAATCTACTCACATCTGCATGTTTTCGAACTGCTAGGTTGGCAGAAGCTGGGGCTGACAGCGGAAGCTCACGCCTCTCCCTGGATTAAGAACCTGCAACCTTTCAGTCAACTAGCTTAGCAGCTCAGTGGTTTAACCCACTGCATCACTGGGGGTACCAGTGGACAGTGCAGACCCCGTATAATGCAGTCTAATGATATGGACAATGAGAATACATGATGTGGACAATGGAGGCCCCTTGAATGCAATCTGCATGATATGGACAGTGGAGACAGTGGACAGTGGAAACCCCTATTATGCATGATGTGGACCGTGGAGACCCATAGAATTTAGTCTGCATGACGTGCACAGTGGAGACCCATTATAATTACTATTATTATATGTATTTATACTCCGCTTTATATCCCCAAAGGGGACTCAAAGCTGCTTGACACAAAAGCATTAGTATACAATTAAAAATGTACAAAAATGCAAACATAAAATAGAATTAAACACAAATGCAGACTGCATGATATGGACCTACAAACTGCCCTTTCGAACTGCATTATATAGCAGTGTAGTTCCAGCCGCAGATAAAGGCCTTTTGGCATGGCACTCCAAGGCGACTTGGGCATGGAGGCCATTGTTGTTGTTATTATTATTATTATTAGGGTGACTATTGGGGTGAACAGTAGGAACTGTAACAACAAAGATGTGCACGCATAATTGTCAACATTAGACCAAGAGGGAATCTATGCTTGTCAGATTCATGCAGTTTGGCCGCACTTTAACTTCCAGCCTGTGTTTTGAGGTTGAGGGTCAGGCCTTGGAAGGGATACGAGGATCTTTTGGCAAGGCACTCCTAGGTGTTTGTTTTTTTTGGCGGGGGGCGGGGTTGTATTGTTGTTGTTGTATTATTATTTGAAACACAACAAGATGAGTCCACAGCAGACACGATCACTCTGCTGGTTGTTGTATTGGATCACACGTCGGACACTTCCCAAGTGTTTAAGTGCAGGCCAAGGTCTTTAGGCACTGCACTCAGTGTGCCGATCACCACTGAGACCACCTTTACTGGTTTGTGTCAGAGTCTTTGCAGTTTGATCTTTAAATCCTCATATCGTGCCAGCTTTTCCAGTTGTTTCTCTTCAATCCTGCTGTCATCTAGGATAGCAACATCGATAATCCATACTTTGTTTTTTAACACAATTGTGAGGTCAGGAGTATTGTATTATTGTATTACTATTATTATTATTATTATTATTATTATTATTTTACTGACACAAAAACACTGCACATCACAGCAAACGAGACCCACGTTATTATTGTTGTTATTATTATTATTATTATTATTATTATTATTTGGGATAACCATTAGGCTGCACAGTAGGACCGTAAACAACAAAGGTATATGCGCATAATTGCCAACACCAGAACAAAGGGGAGTCTATGCTTGTCGGATTAATGCAGTTTGGCCCCACTTTAATGCTATGGAATTGTAGTTTGGTGAGGCACCAGCACTCTTTGGCAAAGATGTCGAACGCCTTATAAAACAGGGGTCCTCAAACTAAGGCCCGGGGGCTGGATACGGCCCTCCAAGGTCATTTACCCGGCCCTCGCTCAGGGTCAACCTACATCTGAAATGACTTGAAAGCACAAAACAACAACAATCCTATTTCATCAGCCAAAATCAGGTCCACACTTCCCATTGAAATAATAATAAGTTTATATTTGTTAAAATTGTTTTCCATTTTAATTCTATTGTTTTTAAGTTTGGTTTTTTTGCATTATAAATAAGATGTGTGCATGGGAATTCATTCATATTTTTTTCAAATTATAATCTGGCCCTCCCAACACTTTGAGGGACTATGACATGGCCCTCTGTTTAAAAAGTTTGAGGACTCCTGTTATAAAACTACAACTCCCAGTAGTTTGTGTGATACTGCTGGTACAACCTACTTTGGGTGCATTTTCCCTGTCGAATTATAGAATCATAGAATCAAAGGGTTGGAAGAGACTTCATGGGCCATCCAGTCCAACCCCCTGTCAAGAAGCAGGAATATTGCATTCAAATCACCCCCAACAGATGGCCATCCAGCCTCTGTTTAAAAGCTTCCAAAGAAGGAGCCTCCACCACACTCCGGGGCAGAGATTTCAACTGCTGAACGGCTCTCACAGTCAGGAAGTTCTTCCTCATGTTCAGATGGAATCTCCTTTCTTGTAGTTTGAAGCCATTGTTTCGCGTCCCAGTCTGCAGGGAAGCAGAAAACAAGCTTGCTCCCTCCTCCCTGTGGCTTCCTCTCACATATTTATACATGGCTATCATATCTCCTCTCAGCCTTCTCTTCTTCAGGCTAAACATGCCCAACTCCTTAAGCCGCTCCTCATAGGGCTTGTTCTCCAGACCGCTGATCATTTTAGTCGCCCTCCTCTGAACATATTCCAGCTTGTCAATATCTCTCTTGAATTGTGGTGCCCAGAATTGGAATTGATGCAGTTGGCCCCCCACTTGAACAGCCCTGGCTCAATATTTTGGGAGTTGTAAATTTTGCAAAGTCTTTAGCTTTTTTTGGAGCCCCCGGTGGCGCAGTGGGTTAAAGCACTGAGCTGCTGAGCTTGTTGATCGAAAGGTCGCAGGTTCGATTCCGGGGAGCGGCGTGAGCTTCCGCTGTCAGCCTAGCTTCTGCCAACCTAGCAGTTCGAAAACATGCAAATGTGAGTAGATCAATAGGTACCGCTCCGGCGGGAAGGTAACGGCGCTCCATGCAGTCATGCTGGCCACATGACCTTGGAGGTGTCTACGGACAACGCTGGCTCTTCGGCTTAGAAATGGAGATGAGCACCACACCCCAGAGTCAGACATGACTGGACTTAATATCAGGGGACAACTTTTACCTACCTTAGCTTTTTTGGCCCAAGAGAACTTGTGCCTAACAAACTGCGACTCCCAGGATTCCAAATAGGGTCGAACTGCATTGTTTCCTGCAATCTTGATACATCCTGTGTACAAAATAGCACTCTGCTTTTCAACTGGGGGATTTATCATAATGGGTGACTCTCTCCTTAATCTAAGAGTGCATCTACACTGTAGAATTAAAGCAGATCGACACCACTTTCACTGCCGTGGCTGAATGCTATGCAATCCTGGGAGTTTTGCAAGGACTGTAGCTTTCCTATGCTCAAGAAACTGCAAATTGTAGGATCTCATAGCCTTGACCCATGGCAGAGTGGTGTCAAACTGCAGTAATCCTACAGTGTAGCTGCACCCCAATTCTATGCTCCACCAGAAAGCAAAAGTGTTACTTTATCAGCCATGCATGTAGATGACTTTGGTGCATTTTGGGTTTTTCGAATGAAATGCAGTGGGACTGGTCATCGAATTTGGGGAAACCACAGTCCTTGGCTCATCAGAAAAGAGGCCCTACTGGAACGGGCTTCTCAAGCGGAGAAGGGGGCATGCAGGCCTAGGCCTGAGCGGAGTGGGCCAGAGGCCTAGGCCAAAGCCAGGCCACGACAGGCCTAGGCCTCGCGGCGCGCTATTTGTAAACAAGGCCCGGAGCTCGAGGAGAAGCCCGTGACTGTTGCACAATAGGAAGGGAGGAGCAGGGTTGAAAAAGGAGGAGGA